TCATGCAATACAAATTTTAGCATGAATGAAATGTCATGCATTACAGTAATGTATGTGCATTACAGTAATGTATGTGCATTACAGTAATGTATGTGAATTGATGGTTTTATTAATAGAAGTAAAATCTTGTTTTTATGTCATTGCTCATATATATGAGTAATGTGAATTTACTTAAGAAAAAGAATTGTGCACAAAAATTACATAAGTACTAATTTGAATGATAATAATAATAATAATAAGTTAATTCAACAATCTGCAGAACAATGCTTAGCTATGTGTAGTATGTATCAACGACGTTTATTCTTGCATTTGTGCCCTTTCAAGACACTTTCTTTTATGAAAATAATAATTTGAGTGTCTAATAAAATAAAGAATTTAACTATATAAATTAATACACTAGAACATGAAAATTGCAATTTAAGTGCATACCATATAAACTCCATGCGAAGCACGCAGGCTCTAATTGTAGCTCAAGTCAGTTGCTGCAGAGTGGTGTTTTCATGCAACCCGCAAATTGACGATGCCTCCTATCCTATAAAAGCAAATGCATGCATCGGACAACAGACACGAGGATTTATGACGCACACCAAAAACATCCAAGATCTTCACAGACGATGTAATGATCCCATTTTATACTGCATTATGAACTATTGAGCAAATTCTGAGATGAAAATCTTACAAACTACCAGAGAGCATACAGAAAGCGAAAAGGCAGGGATCCTACTAACAAAAACTATTAAACAAAACTTGATCCATTGCAACAAATGTTTTTCCACACCGAACTGAGTCACAAATGTAACAAATCAATAGTGGCTCACATACCCAAAAAGCGTAAAATAATTTTAGGCCTCTCGCAAAGTAGCACAGGATGTCTACGTCATGATAATGCACGTACTTCGGCAAAATTCAAGTAGTATACCGCATTTGCAGACTATGCAAAACTAAGTTTCTGGAATCAGAAGACAGTTTGCTTGTGCCTGATCATATTTATGACAAAGTGCTCTCCAAAATCACCGTGCTCCACGGGGAGATGCGGTATACTACTTGTACATAGAGATACTTATAAAAGTCATCCACTCCCTTCCAGTGCACAATGACTGATTAACAAAAATAGCATTAGTACCCGCAAGAATTAAAAATGCGAGGACCAACAGTTGGAACAACAATGAATGTGGTGCTTATTGGAATGATTGATACCAATCACTTGCATTATATTATCAACGAAGCTAAAATTTGAGTGGCTTACATCTGAAGGGAGGTGTAAAAACCAACCAGTCCTCTCCATGCATCATAGTCAGCTATGAACCAGCAAAAAATGAGAAATTATTTGACATTAATTTTTTTGAAGGTGAATAGATATGGACCTTGAAAGGGTGGAATGGCGAGGCTCGCCGAACGAAGAAATACAATGTTCGAGGATATTCAAGAATCAGCTAAAGTAATACAAGGACCAATAGGATGTAAGTAAAAGCAGAAAATCGAAAAACTCCCAGATAACTACCTATACAGAAACTCCATGATAGTAGACGAGCCGACTTGCATGCTATTAGGAAATTGTGAATCGAGAGCAGTAATGAGTTTATGTAGCCGACAGTAAGGTCCCAAATCCGTGTCACCTATAATGATTTCTCAAGTTTGCGTCAGAGATTTCTGAATCTAACCCGGTCTACTATGTAGAGCTTTAGAAGAGATAAGACAATGACTCATCATCATTTTCCCCATCAAATGGTTTTGTCTTAGCAGCATCAAGAGTGGCAATCCATGCAGGCTATGACAACTAACTCGTACACAACCACGAATGCAGAAAGCCCCACTTGTTTTTCATTATTAATTGATTCTATAATAATGCGATGATTAGCTTGTATAGCAATCAATGCGCCAAACTAAGACAGATGAGATTCCGCAGCATTTGCGAAATCTTGCGGCCCTCGCTTTACTTGACACTCTGCGGTGTGTCAATCACATTGCTGGCCCTGTCTTCTAAGTAGCATCGGCTGTTGTTGGTTTTCAAAAAGACTACAGTTAAAAACTTACTCGAATGAAAACGTACCCATCTTAGGCCTTGAGCGACCTAAAATACGCCGATCAGTCAATAGTGGAAGATTCAATACAGACACTTTCACTCTTCAATCCCTCGCAAACAATCTGCTCGATGAGAACCTCCGAAAACTTAATTGAGATCGTAAACTTAGGTCTAGCAGAATGCAGGCATGTAAGAGAGGCATTTCCAAATCAAATCCGCCAGATCTACCGAAAGAAATGTAGCAATTAGCAGAGTTGAACAGCGAAAATACGACCAGCTCCGAGTTTGGGAATTAGCTAACGCAATTCATGCTTGTCAAAAACACCAGATCACGGAACTTTCGAAATCTGAAAAATATTCCGGAAATCCTAGCTCCCCCTCCTCTTCCACCTGCTACTTCGACCTCTCCAGCTCCCGTCCCTACCATTGCCAGGACGAGGAAAAACCACACCAAAAATCTCCATGAAACTCACGAGAAATCATCCATGAAAACACGGCGTTGCGGATCCGATCAGGAAGATTTCAAGGTCAAATATCTCCGAGCAATGGCGTCACGGTTCAGGAGCCTGAAGAGAACTTAGAGCTGCAACTACAACTACAACAACTAAAAGCAGGTGAAAAAACAAACCCTAATAATGATAATTGACTAGTCGACGAATGGTAAAATGGATGGATGAATAACTTATTGGATGAAAAATGTCTCTCGAGCAAAATATAGAGTGATTTCTGTTGGACTTCCTTTAACGCTTCGGGTTACTTTAAAGTTAAGCACTCGGAAAAAACCTCTGCTCAAAGACTTCATGAACACTATTTGGGTTTGCTTTCATTTCCATCCCAATTAAATTTTATTTTATAAGTAATTCATGCTTGAGATTTTGTGATCGAATTAAATATATATATATATATATATCCATATATTTTTTAAATAATAATAATAATAATAATAGTAAAAATGTAGGTATTCACAAAGTGTAAACATGATCAAATTTTGGGTCCAGAAGAAACATTTGATTAAGTGCACGATGTTGGCTTATTTTTAAGCATAAAAATATTCTTGAACTTTATTTTGTACCAACTCTTCTATGTCTTCAAAAAGGGTTTTCCTATTGATTGTAATTTCATAACGCTCATGTTGTGACTTAAAACTACAAAGGTTGTAAATGTAAATCAGTATAAGACGTAGTACTCAAATGGTTAGATGCAAACTTACCAGCACTTAATACAATGGTCATTAAAGAATGTACCCTACTTTGGGTTTGGTATTTTATTAGCTTGTAATGTTGGAACTACAAAACTTTAATTTCTGGTATTTACTAAGCATTCAGAGACATTATTTAAAAATGATTCATAAAGTAAAAATAAAATAAAATAAATAGCACACCACAATGTTTGACCTGTTCGTTGTTATGTTATGTATTTACATATTTAAAGATCACATTTTTATTTTGCATATACCTTTTAAAACATTAAAATACCATATTATATATTTTTATACTCTTAAATAATGCTTCAATTACTTTTGTTACTCGAAACAAATCTCTTTTAATTTCGTTTTTCCTTATGCCCAATTGTTTAAGAGAACCTCTAGGCCATATACCATGCACCCCCCATATGTTGTTATTGTATATATGGGGGATGCATGGAATATTGCATCAATCAAGTTAATTTGCCATATTCTGTACATAAATATGTATTTGCAACGTACGAGCTTGTTGAAGCTGATGGATATATTTTGTCAACCAGTGCAGTCAATACAAGTGAGTTAGGATTCATCAATTAGCCCAATTTCTGTCACTCTACCTTTTGACAATTCTTGTTCCTCAAGCCAATTGTTTCACAAAGTACATTTTAATTATCAAACAATTCTTCGTCTACCTTTTATTTTTTCCTTTCCTATTTTTCTCAAGTTTTATTGCGTGATAAAGGTAAAATCATGTGGCTTTTACTAGTGTTTTTTAGTCTAATTATTTGCTAATTTTCCAACTAAGAATTATGTGTCTAAATGATATGAATTGATTTATCCTTTTTTGGTTCACTGTATGTTTCTACAAACACCAAAGAATCTAAAACATCCATTGTAGAATATCTTGTGAACACACGAGTTTGAACCAAACAACTCCATGAGTAGAACATCCCCACACATCTGAAGAGAAGAGAAAGAATGTACGAGTTGCAGACTAGTTCACACATTCCATCCAAGATCTTGCAGGATTGGACCAAAAAAAAAAGAAGTGCAGAACCATGAAAGAAAACATTGAATCCATGAGAAACAAAATTCCACAGCCTTGAATAATTGTTGTCCTTGCTTGCAACTTGTATAGATCCAAGATGCGTCGTACCATTTGGTCGTTACTCTCAAGACAGGAATAAGCTTTCTGGAAGAGAACAGAATCTGCTAGTTTAGCGAGAGATAAATGCAAATCCCGTGTAACCTGATCAGAGAAGATACTATTCGTAAACAATGCCTAATTCATATTACTTACACACACAGCAGGATATGAAGTAGGTGCAGTCGCATACTCTGGAAATAATTGCAACTACTCAGGTAAAAAGTAATACACTTCATGGAGGATGCAGATCACTCCCTTCTTCATCAGTGATGGTCCACCAGCAACGGTGCAGTTTCTTTTCGTGATTGGAAGGCTCAATTCAACTCAAACGCTGGAGCTGGAGTCAACGTCAGAGGTGGTGTGGTCATGGTTGCCGTTTGTGTGTCACATGCCGCAAAAAGTAGGGGCTCAAATCACTTCTTCCACGTACTGTAAGGTTTCAGAACACAAGATCAAGCCATGTGCAATGCAAACAAACGGCACCCTCTGAACTTGCGTGAGTCTGTTAAGTCATTTAAGTTGAGCCGTCAGAGGCCTGAAAACTCATAGCCCATGTGGTGATTTGGAGTTGAGAAGAGAATCACGAGAAGTTCCCAGAACTGATATTTTGCGAAAAAAACAACAAAAAAAAAGGGAGAGGTAACTCGGAAGATAAAAAGACAAAAGGGGTATTTTCAAAACATTCCGAAACACGTCCCGGGTGGATTGCCATCCAGCAGCGACAGTATCGTTCAAATCTATGATTGACGAAACACCTAAACCTTTCTGACCCAACCATCTCAAAGCCCTATAATTTCATGCTAAAAGCTAACTTGGTATGTTACATTCTCCCGACTGTACATCTCGCGTAAGGTTCTTCTGCGCAATCAACAAGACTCAACCAAATGTTTTAATTGGTGAACTCCATCGCAAACCAGTCCAGTAGTACCTGCAAGGATAACCTAATACGTCAATAAGAGACATCACAGCAACCTATCCCGTGAGAAGAAAAGCTCTCCAGCAACTTAAACTAACCAATCTATATCACATTTGAGAATCCAAACCAAATGCAACACACATACAATGCCGCTTCATATCCTTAGAAAACACAGTAACAAATCGTTGACGATGTGGACAATGTGCAAACACCTGCGTCTAAACGTGATAACTCTAGTTCCCAGATGTCTCCAAGAGAATAATTGTTAAAGCAATTTTTAAAATTGATTTAAGTTTTGAAAAATTCTCAATCATCTACTTAGTATGATGACAAGGAGGGCGTACCGATGGAACGCCCCTGTACAATTAAGGCGTCTGGCATTACAGGCTGAAAACTTGGGCTTGTAGAGCCGGATCATGTGCCTCCATCGCATTTTGGCACGCTATGTAAAACCCGCACACACCCCGCATTCGGCGCCGAAAGATTTAACTCAAAGCTTGACCTCTCTACCTAACATGATCATCGGCACCGGGACAATTCCTCGAACCAATATTCATCTCATTGACATCGCAATCACTGCACTGTAGCCGTGTGTTCAACAAAGAAACCGTGTTGGTTCGATGTTTACGCCGACGTGAAAATCCTTCTTCCGAACTATTGTCTTCGCAAATGATGAGCACAAGCACGATGATATTCATTTTCTGTAGCGTACTTCCACAGCAGGGTCCAGGCAAGGTGCTCACTCTTCTGACTCTCTAGTAGGTGGGATCCCTGTGGGAAGAGGAGTACTAAAGTTCGAAAGCTGAATATTTTGTCCAGTTACCTTCTGCAAGAAGGATATCAATGCACTATCCCTCGCTGCAGCTATGGCATTCTCTTGAGCTCGAAGATCATGTTCCCGTTGCCAACGGGCCACCTCCTGCCTTCTCCACGCGTCCTCTTTCGCCTGCCTGTCCTGCTCCATTTTTTCTATCATTTCCAAGAACCTCATTTGCATAGCTTCCTGCTTATCAATCATGTTCTTCATTAACGTCTCAAAAAAGTCAAGCTTGGGGGTCCCAAACTTCACAGATTCTATCTGCTTCCTCTTCCTATTCTTTTTCTTATCTTGGTTGTCGCGCAAACCACTTCCAGGTCCATCGTAATCATCATCAGACGACTTAGACACAGTTACCCCTGTACTAACTTCCGATGCCCTTTGAACGGAGACATTGAGATCCTGATCGGTAGGTGATATTCCTAGAGGGGGAGCGTTTCCTATAAGTAGGACGGCAGCAGCTGTGTCCGTTTCTACTTGCGTCGAGGTTTGTTGGCCACCAAATAATGCGTCCAGCTGGGCAAAGAAACGGTAACTTTTGCCATCTTGTCTCCCTGCCCTTCCATCTTTCGACTTCTTATAGTATTTGTGAATATTTTCGAATTTCTCCTTACACTTCTTCCCACTTCTGTTATATCCCATCTCCGCGAGTTTTCTGCGGCAATCAAACTTCGGTCAATCCCACAAGTTCATGACATGTTTCCCAAACTAACTTTTCTAGGTTAAGAGTGGCTTGAAACAACCACGAACCGGTGTAGATCCTTGAACACAACACAAACTAATTTTAAAAATTCTCGTGAACTACGCAGGGGAGCTTATCTTTGACACGACATGCAGTGGAAGAGCTTGGTACCCTCCCTTAGCAGGCGACAATACCGTGTTCTACGACGGACTCAATCGACCAGTATTTGTCGATAAGATCAGAGAGTTACAGATGGATTAGCAACTTACCGCGAAACATCTTCCCACAACGGACCCTTCACGCCAGAATCCCGAAAGTTAGCGTCTAAGTCGGACCGAATCTGAATGAGTGCAAGCGTCTCGGCTCTGGGCCACCGATTCCCTCCAGAATTCCCCCGCTCCTCCTCGAGTCCCTCGTCATCTTGCTGGGCAGATAGCAAAAGTTTGCTGTAATTTGTTGGCGAGGGACGACTCGCAATTGGTGAAGGAGCATCCGGTGAGTCTGGATCACCCAAACCTAACTGCTGAACCATTTGCTCCTGGGCATGTTGTTGCTCTTGCGCCTGCTGTTGCTCCCTAACCAGCTGCTTATGTTGTTCTTCTTGCTGCTGCACCTGCTGAAGCTGTTGCTGAGGGACATCCTGGTGGGAAGAGGATGCATGAGAAGCTGGCTGTTGCTGCGCCTGCTGCAGCTGAGGCAACGGATGCGCAGGGTGCTGTGAATGCGGCGCATGTTGTGAATGCTGTGGGTGTTGCGCATGCTGTAGATGCTGTGCATGGGATGCGTGAGAAGATTGTGGTTGGTGAATTTGTTGCAAACTAGGGTGTGGCTGGTGAGAGAGGTGCCCGCCATAGAGGTGATGCGGGGCCTGTAGGTGGTGAGGGAGGTGGTGTTGATGAGGGTGATGTCCCTGGTGCGCATGGCCAGCTGGGGGGGAGAGAGAAATACTGTCATGCGAGATGGAAAATATGTGAGGCGCTCTCGCCACTAGAAATTGTGGCGAGTCAGAGACTCCATATTGTCCAGTGCTCTGCATCTTCTTACTATTTCCTTCTTCTCAAACCCGCTTACGCCTCTACAAAGAAAGAATATAAACTTATCCGGTCTCGGCAAAAGAACCACGGCCCCTCAATCTACCCGCAGCAGGAACGTCAGGAACCCTCCACCCCACAACCATTCCACAGAACGCATACACATTTACGCCCGCGTACGACCCCACTCATTCCCGCTTCCGACAACGTTCACCCCGCCCCCCCTCTTTGCAGAAAGATCCCCACGCCGCCAAAGCCCAATTGTCCAATCCAGGTGAAAAAAACCACCACTCTCTCGCTCTCACCTCGTCCCGTTCAGCCTCCCCAACCAAAAAAGGGATGTGATCCCACACCCTCTGCCAATCAACCCCCCCACTTCACCGTTTCACCGAACTCAAAACCCCCTAAACCTCAAAACCCACCACCATAAAAGCACTCTTCTACTGCTGGGGAAAACCCATTTTAAAAAAATAAAAATAAAAACGAGAGAAGGAAAAAAAAATGGAATAAATATATTTAAAAGAATCCCTCACTGTCGACCCACTAAACTACCTGACCCTGGAAAAGAAGAAGAAGAAGAAGAAGAAGGGAAAAAAGACCTCCCCCGGGAATACTCACTCTAGACTCATTCCAATCCGTCGACTTCACCTCTCCCACTTACTCATCTCACCCCCTGCGAGATGAGACTCTCTCTCTCGCGCTCCCCTTGCCAGCGATGTTTCTGTGGTACCGCGACTGCTGTCAACTACCCGGGAGCAGTGAGTGGGTGCGGTAAAACACGCTCCGACTCACTTCTCACTCACTTGTCACTCACTCTCACTCACTGCTCACTCACTTGTCACTGAGGAGTCTGGTTTCCTGCTTTCCTCCTTCGTTCCCCGCTTTGGCTCTCCCCTCCCCCCTTCTCCCCCCCCCCCCCCTCCATCCTCATCGTCATCCCCTTCATTCTACTGCTGCAGGGAGGGGACTGGGCTGTGCTGTGCCCCATCTCCTCCTCCTCCTCCTCCTCCTCCTCCATCATCTTCCCTCCGCTCCCCTGTCATCCAGCTACTGCGACGATGATGATGAAGATGAAAAGGGAGGAGGATCATCGGCATCATCCACGGATGACATGGAGTGGGGGGAGGGGGGGGTTAAAGCATCATAATCCCACACAAGAAGACGACGACGACCTGCAGCAGCAGCAGGCAAGGGAAGGGAAGGAAACACAACCAACCATCCCCCCACAATGACATCCATCCATCCATCCATCATGGTGGTAGCGGAAGGAGGACGAGAAAGCAGGCGAGGTGGGCCCCATCACTCACACACCCAGCTGGAAGGATGATGACGAGGATGAGGATGAGGATGATGCAGCAGCCAGCATTCTCTCTCGTTCTCTCTTTGTTCCATTCCCCTTCAACCCCTCGGGTGGGTGAAGACGGCGAGAATCTTTCTCATTTCCTCCTTCCTCCCTCCCTCCCTCCCCTTCCTTCCACTCTTCCACTGTTCCACTTGCCTTCGTGTCTGCCTGCCAGCCAGCCCACCATCTCTTCATTGCACGGCCCACCTCCAGTAAAGTAAGTAAGTAACTAAAAGCAAAGTAAAGTGAAATATTACATAAATCAATAAATGGGATCCAGTCCCGTCCCCCACGTCTTCTTCTACTTCTGCCGCCTGGCGCCGCCGAGACCGCGCCGGGCTAGGTTGGGCGTTCCCTAGCCCAGCCGACGGGGTAAAGCAAGGTGGACAAATGAAGAAGAAATTAGAAGTAGGCAGTTCGGTTGACCCTCTCCCTCTCCCTCCCCTCCCCTCCCCTCTCTCCCTCTCCTGGTCTGGTGTGCTCGTAACCACATGAGGAGCAGTTTATGTGTGTGAGGCCCATGGATTCATTCGTAAGGGACCCCCACTCACACCGCATCCCAACCGTCATTGTTGCGCATCCACTTCTCCCCCCCAACCCCAACCCCTACGCCCACCCTTTCAAACTCACTTTTCGATCCGCTACCCCCCCCTCGTGGATGTAGCATTCATCCTTCCATTCCGGATGTTTCTCAGTTTCTTTGACGTCAGTTGGGGCTGCTTGCGTCATGCTCGTATTCGTCATCTTTCCCGTTTTGGCTCATTCCCTTCGTAACATTCAGTAGCTTCAGGAAATGTCCCCCCCACTCCTTCTTCTCCCCTTTCCTGTGCTGCGGGTGTTCATCCTTCTTTCCTTTCTTTTTCTTCAAGGGTTGGATTAATAATGGAAATGCCTCCTCTTCTCCTCACCGTTACCCTTCACGAAATTGAGAGGTTGCATGTGTGTGTACTTTTTCCGTACTATGCACTCTAAAATTATGACAAAAAGGATATAGTGATTTTCACGTGTAACAAATATATATAAAATCAATGCATAAATATATATATATATATATATATATATATACATGTATATTTTGGGAGAGAGAGAGAGAGAGAGAATAGTGTGTAGTGCATGCTGTGGTAGTTTCACCACCATCGGCATTCAAACAATGGCACATTCTGCTCAAAATGGCCAGAAGAAAAAAATTAAAACAGTGGGAACTCAAAAACACGAGCAATATGGTGCTGAAAACGACTCTCCAGAACATTCCTCAATGAATGAATGAAAACGGTGGATATTACCGAAACTTTCATCCATCGAGACTACTAAATAAATCCTTGAGAAAACATGGATCGACAACTTGGATGTGAGACATTTTACCCCCTCGTGACTTGAGGGTCCCACTTGGCCGTGGGAAGGAACTCACCCGCGGATACAGGGGTAGTATGTCCCATGGCTGTAGTACAGACTCAGTGAAAGTGAGCGGCACGGTTGACCGGTCATAAGTCTGTGCTCCTCATTGACCACGCCTTGCACCTCATTCACAAGTGGCCGTGGTCCTTGGGCTTGCTTGGCCTATCACCACGTCTCCCGCATGCATCACCGTATCATGAATACATGTGTCTCGAATAGCGTGCATTCTGTACGATTCATTCGTACTTGTACGATTCATTCTCCTACCCCCCACCCCCTCCCAAACTCTAATATACATTTGTTGGGTGCTTGAATGTGTGTAATACTAGTTTGTGGGTGTATCAAAAAAACCCAACAACCTTTTTAGAAGATCCAACAACAATGTGGAATTGAAAATCGGCAATCCATGTTGAGAAACGTGTTAGTACTTGGGTATAGAAGATGGAAAGTTGAGTAGATCTATATATTTATTAATAAAAATAAATGGCATTAGTGGTTGTTGTGATGTTTTTTTTTAGGTATTTTGTTGTTATTAGAATAGACTTTAGAGATCACCAAATGTTGACGAATCAAAAAATTATTATAGCTACAAAATTTGGGAAATGAATAATACTAAGTAAACTATTCATCTTTAACATTCAATGCTACTTTTATTTTATCTTTGTCTTTCAAGCTAGGATAAATTTATGATGAGGTGAGAAGAGTAGTGTGAAATTAATGTTACTCGTGCATAATGGTAAAACAGTCAAATTATATGAAAAATGATGCATGCCTGAAAATAAGAAGGTAAGGGTATTTCAAAGCTTCATAATGGCAAAACATTGTATTGAAATATAAATTTCAGATATGGATTTTGTTTTGTTTTGTTCTGTTTTGTTCTGTTTGTTTGTATATATATATATATATATATATATTTGTATCAATAAAGAAAAAAGACATAATAGCATATTAAAGTTATTCATAATCAGAAATTTTAAAGTTGAGAGATGTTGACAGTCTCTATTGTTTAGCAATAATAGCAGTAAATCACATGCACATGCATCACTTCAACTATATATTGTGCACAAACACTTCTGTGCATATGTGTTATGTACAATCATGAATAACAATGGTCCATAGTCCATCAATGGATTGTAAAACAGTATACAAATTATCAATAAAAAGATCAATATCATTTGATAAATTTACACAAACAAGTAAAAATAGAAATACAATAATTTCATGGTAAAAAATTATTTTTTATAAATTTATTTGATCAGTCATACAAAAATCACTTAGTTCATGTAAAAAGTAATTTAAATATTTTTGATGAACAAATAAAATGATGTATATGTACATAATAACACATACATACACATGCACACACTTTTATATATATATATATATATATATATTCATACATACACACACACACACACATGTACATTATGTTAGTACCATTTTCTTCTATTTCATAAATGAGTTTCAACATTTGTTTGTATGTATATATATTAAAATTATGCAGAAATATCATTTTTTAATAATAGATATTATTTTTTAATCAATAAATCATTGTTATCTTTATGTAACATCGAGTAGTTTGATTAATTTTTTGATGAATTCATCCAATGGCGCAACTTGTTGTAGGATTAAAATGCAACTAAGATTATCATTTCTGTTAACTCAATAAAATAATTATAATAATAATCTAAGTAAAACATTTTAAACATAAAAAAGACTTGATGTCAAGACTTAGATTTTTTAATTAAATTTTATTGAAACAATCTAATAATGTGGTTTTTGCAATGTTATAATTCAATGAATACAAAATATTTTGGGTGAGATATTTGATTGTTTAAACAATAATGAAAAACTTGTATATTCATAAAATCAAGATACAACTGTGCATTTGACTTTTCTAATTATGAGTATTTCTAAAAATACTATTCAAAGTTTCAAATTTAAAAAAATAAAAGAATTATTAGTTTTTAAAAACTCTACATCTTAGACTTAGAACTTAATCAACTTTAAAATTTATTCACGATGATATTTTAATTTAGCAATCATGGCTTGCAATATTTGAATTTATAACATAAGTAGATTATGATAATGAACTCTACTAATATTAAAAAAGAAAAAAATGATTTTAGTTGTTATTATTACCAGAAGAGTTTTTCAATGATTACACAGTGATAACATGTTCTATTTTGTTTTATATTAATCAAGATGTGTCATGGATATTAATGCTACTTTAGTAAGTAAATATACATGAAAATAATTTAGAATAAATCAAGTTAATGATAATTTCTTCTTCAACATTGAGAAATATTTTGAGATGCATGTTAAATGTACAAGAGTTTATAGATACACAATGTAACTAAAGAAACTTCTATTAGACACACACTAAGAGTATTATAACAGAACTGTAAGGATAAAAATAGATTATACCCATAATATATTAACTTAAAATAATACTACAAAATAATTCTAATATTTGTTAATCATATTTATATGGAGATAAAAAAATTTAAAAAAAGCTTCTACAATATTCTTTGAATTACTTCTTTATTGAAAGTTCATACAAAAACATCATCAAATCAATTTAAGAATATATTTTTTCATTTGAACATCACAAAAACACTGGATCTACATTTTAAAGAATTCTCATAAAAATAGTGTTAAATATCAACTTCAAAAACAAACTAATCTAACAGTAGTCTCTAATCTGAGTTTTATTATAATATTTTTAAACAAGATCTATTCTCTCAAATTTGATCATTTCTCAGATTATGAGAATTAATTTTAAAGACTTTAGATGCATTTTAAAGATAATTTTTAATTACTAAAAACAATAATTTTATTAATGCAGCATTTTTTATGATTTATCTTTGCAATTGTTTTTTTTTTTTTTTAATATAGCATTTTAAAACGTAAAATAAATAAATAACTATATTAATGAGAATGATTTTTTTTATTTACTGAAATATTAATTTAAAAATTACTATAAAATGTAAAGAAAAGGCAGCTCAATTTCTTTAATACAAATTAATCATGCAAATTACTAATTTATTATCTAAATTAGCAATTGATTTTTTTAGATCTATTCAAAAAGCCAAACAATTTTACTTTAATTTTTTCAAATTTTTGTGGTCATTAAATGTTCTTTTTAAATTAAATAAGTGATTATAAA